TGAAATCATATTGTCGTGGATCTTGAAGCCCCTTTCATGGCAATTAATTGCTTGGACACAGATATGTTACGCAGATGTCCTCAAATGAATAAGAGGAAAAAACTACGACCATATTATCTTTAATTCGATAACTTAGTCCCATTGTGATGCGTCAACATGAATCAAGGTGGCATGCGCATTTAGTCCACGTTATTATTTGGCTATATACGTGAATGTGTGCCTGATAATTCCATGAGGGAAGATCAATGACTAAAGGCCACGTTCACCCAGATGAAGGCGCCGAATCTTGGTGGTTGTCGAGCTTAAATGGAATTAATTGCCCATAGGGACATGAACGAATGGGACTTGGAACACAGGATAGGTCCATCAATAATATGCCCCTCTGGACCACAGACTACCAGATGGCAAAGCGTGGATGTGCTCACCGAAGGGGTTATCGTTTGTGGGGACAACTGTCTAAGCTGGGTGATAATAATTTTCAGTTTATATATGTTTGGTGTTGGCTGACTTTATGAGATCAAACATTAAAACGTAAATAAGAAATTCACCATTCACGTGAGCCCCTAAGTTTTGGTAACCCCCCAATAAAAGTCTAGTAGATAGGGCGGTCACTTCATGTGTTGAAGACTTTGCACAAATGTCACTAAAGGTCAAGTGCAATTACGAACTCGCAGAGGACCAGCAAATCTGTAAAACACCCTGGTAAATAAAAAAATAGATGATCGTTAGTTTAACGGTAGCTAATAATTGCTACTGGCAACCATGTAAGGGTGATGATCTCAAAGATGCGAACAACATTACTTAAATCGTCATGATCAACATTTTACAACATGCCCAATTGTTCGCCAATTTGTCGTGATGAATTTGCATGTTCCATCTAAGAAATACCATTGTTAAACAGTGCAAAAGAAGTTTTCATGGCTGATAAGATGCATCACCACAGAACATTTATTGGTTAAAACCAATGTGATTTTAAAGCGAGCCATTTTTGTTCATCTCAAGGTAAGGCCCTTCATCGGCGTCCTAGTCCGCCTTCAAGCGCGCAGGTCGAATTTGTCGTCTTACTGTGTATTAGCTGTAAATAGGGTCCCTGCGGTCTTTGTGTGTACATTTTTTACACCTTTTTAAATCAAAATGAATTCTTCGGAGTCGCTGGGATCGTCAGACCACACTGTGTTTATGGCTTTGGTCCCTGTGCTGGTTCAATGCTTCGGCTTGATTATTCTTGGATTCGTGGCAGGACAGTTTAAGCTTCTAACCGGAGCACAAGTAAAGGGTTTGGGTGTTTACGTGACAACGTTTGCATTGCCGGCAATTTTCTTCACCGTAAGTTCTGCAAGAAACTGCATTTACTAAAATGACATGCATTTGCTTTGCTTAAATGCGACGTTTAGTTCATAAGTCAGTGACACCAATTTCCTGACGTATTTCTAATCTTTACTTGTTGTGTGAATCTGACACTACATCCCCCATGGCAGTTGCTAACAGATAAGGCACCATAAATAGTATTATTAAGCGTCAGAGATTAATGATTTCTTGTGCTGAAAGGACTGTGGTAAGTCCACTAAATTAGTTTTCATAAAGCATAATATGCGCCGATTGTTATATATAAGCGGACAGTTGTGAGCGCTTGCAAGCTACTTAACCCATGTTATGAAATGTTGAATGGGGCCGTTAGTGTGGACTAATTTTAAAAATGGCCTGGTGTGGTGGTAGAAGTCGAATCAAAACTGGAATCTGTGTTGTTGACTACATTTGTATTCTAAGATTTTTTTCTGTGTAAATCATTAAACAAATTCATATGCCTCAGTTTTCGGCCTTGTTCCTGTATGCGCAGTTGTGTTAAGGTCCACAAACATGTGCCTATTTTTAAAAATATGCGAATAGGAAGCTTTCTCTTCAAATAGTTTGTGTAGTGATCCGGCACCATTTTATGTAAAACCCAGAAAAAAAGTCCACCTCATAATGGCCTCAAAAATACAGGAATATCTACGTTTTCTGCCTCAAATTTGTCCTCAGTTTTTATCATGGTAATGCTTTCCAGGTCGTGATAAATCAATATTCTCCCATTAGTAGCTCCTACATTGGTTTCATTGAAGCTATCATTTTACCTGCTATAGGTTATGGTTACGATCGACTTTTCAGATGTTGACTGGAATGTTGTTCTCGCCGTGTCTCTCGGTAAATTAGCTATCTTCCTTTTCTCCATGGGAATTGTTCTCGTAATTTCTCGAGGCAGGTCCATTGGGTTGGCAGGAATTTTGGCAATTTTCACCTCTCAATCAAACGATGTTGCCCTAGCCTATCCAGTGCGTAAGTGTTTTGCCGCAAACTTGCTAATGCAAAGTCAAGGCTTGCCGCACATTATTTTAAAAACGGACACTTTGATACCTGTCAATATTTCATGTTTTTTTTTTCTAGTCAGACTTCTGTACCCGGATCTAGCATCCTACATCTACCTCTTTGCACCGGCTCAACTGGTCATTTTGAATCCTTTTGCCTACTTTGCATTGGAATGGCATAGAACACAGGAGAAAGCAGCGGTCCATTCGGTAATGGCTTTGGATGATCAGCCCTCGCATCATATCACGCCGAAATTTCCCTTCAAGAGGATATTAAAGGCAGGTTTTTCAAATCAACTTTACCGTTCCTCAATGTCAGGCGTGCACTCTAGTTGTTTTTTAAATGCCTTTTTCGTCTACCTATTTACACGCTCGTGTAATGCGTTGCATAACTTCACAAGCTCTTATTTAGATGTAGATCTAACTATTTTTTTGTGTGCAAAAACGCAGCAAACTCCCTGTCGTATAGAATGCTCACACAAGTATTAAATAGTCTTTGAAGAAATCCACATTTCCGTCTAAACAGAATCTTGAAATCTCGTATCAGTTATTACTTTAATGATTGTTTGCACACGTTTTCAGCACTATTGTCAAGTTTATTTAAATGGAGTTGTCTACGTCCAGTTGTAATGATCACTTCAACTTCGTGCTGACTATAACTACATGGGATACACTAAAAACTATTGCGTCCGTTTTGACACGCCGGCTCTAATGGGATTTACATCGGTACTCTTATTTGCCACTGATTATTTGATTTGGGTTGCAATACGCGTGTATCATTCGAGAGTTAATTGTGTATAACTTGTACTATTTGAGTTGGTTGAAAATCGCCTTTGGACGTAAACACGGAAACCGCAGGTACAAATTTATCAATCTTCTATGTTGGGTTGATTTCTTATCTTAAAGTTATTGAGAACATCTCGAATATGCGTTGTGGACAAGAGACGGCAATGGCAAATTCCCTGAAATCACAAAATGTAATGCTGATTTAACTCAAGAAGATGTGGCGTGCACGCCTCAGTGAAGTGTGTTCGCAAAATGGAGGGGTTGTCGTGAAAAATGAAGAAACAATGAGTCATCATTGTGGTATGGATTACGACTGTCCTCAAATGCCCTGTATCACCCGTCTTAACTGCGCTATCCTTTTAAACTTGCCCAGATGTAGAGGCAGAGAACACATTTTCGTGGATCGAAAAGTGTGCATTTGATTTTTTTAGGTGTTCCGACACGTGATCTCGAATCCGCTCTTTTTCATGACAGCTATCGGGGTGTTTTTCAATTTTCTTCTCAAGCACAAACTACCCAGCATAGTGGAGGGTTTTTTCAAGGATTTGGGTGAGTTGGCGCTTCGGCCATGTTCTCTTCCTGAAACTGAGGCATTTTAATATTTAATCAGCGGCAACGGCCTATCCATTTCCCTCTTAAACGTTAGCACTGAGTTGTAAATCTTACTACGCGTGTTTCATTGAATTCAATTTTTTCCCGAAATGAGTCACTTTTTTCCTTTAAATTTGACCTAGGGTTTTCACTGATTTGAACACACGTTTTGTTTATCTTAGGGGCGTCGTTTAGTGCCACAGCCCTGTTCTACCTCGGTTTCAGCATGGTTGGAAAGTTGAGCGCCATTGACCGTCGTGGAGTCTACACGCTTGTCTTCATTCTGATAGGCAAGGTGTAAGTCTGTCTTCTTCCGTTCTTCCATGTCTTTCACCAACTTGCAAAACAGTACCCTCGTTTTCCTGTAACTGAATTTCTCATTTACGAGGATAACGTTTCCCGAAAAGGATTGTCGTGACAACAAGTCGATTTACCACTGTTGTTTTAACAACTGTTTCCTGTGATATACCTGCGTTTGCTTTATTCACAAATACAGTCAATGTCTCACGAACAGGCTGTAGGTATTTTCTTATCTAAGACTGCCCGTAGATACAAACTAATCGAGAGTTTAAAATGCTTAAAACTGAAGTACGACAATGCGAGCGTGGCAGTGTGCATTGTAGGTCACGATTACGCAGGTTTCTAGGGAGAAGATGCGCCAACCAGGCAACACCCAGCGCCTTTGTAGCGCACACCTGTCTCGGCATTCACCAAACTTCACAATGACTAATATCTTCCATTATTGAGAATTGAAGCAAAGCTGTGTTTGCTTAGGCGTGCGTCACTCAGGCAGTATTTCACGAAATGTGCGCTCAAATCCCTGTTTTCTTCGTTTAGCTGACAAAGCGCATAGTTCATCTACCTCGCGTTTTCCGCCCCTTGTTCAACTACGGGTGTTCCCTTAGCCAAGCTTGGCTTGTTTTTACTTATTTAACACTGACAGGAAGCCAGCACAAAGACACCAACACAATCATTAACATGGCTATTGTTTTGCCTAAATTTCTGTCTACTCCTCTTCCAAGTGTTGCAGCTGATGTTGCAACCCTTACAGATTTTTTCTATTTTCATCCTTCGCGCAAGCATGGTTGGCTTCAGCATTTTATATGTGTCTAAAAATCTTACTTTGTTGTTGAGACTCATTGTCAATCGCCTTGACACCTGGTCACGCTCACTTGAATTCACTGCATCTGCCATTTTGACACACCCCTCTGTACAATGCACTCAACACCACCTATGTAACCGTTGCATTTTCTCTCAAAAAACTGTCTTCTTGCGATCAGCTTTACATTGCTTAAATGTGTGGCTTTGACTACATTAGATTATGCACTGAAACGCCACCCGCTGAATCTCCCTCTCTTTGATCTTCTACGCCACACAAACCAATTGACCTAGAATGTGTCTCGTTGGTGTGTGTGCGATCCAGGCAATTGAGTGCTTTGTCGTTGTTTTTAAAGGCTCATCTCGCCTTTCATAACCCGCGAAATCGCGGTTCTCCTGTTGGCCCATCAGCCTCTCAATTCGTCGGTCCCGAAGTCGAGTTTTGCCTTCCTCTACGCAGCAGCTCCGACCGCCCCTCCCGTCTTCCTCTTCTCTGCCAAATTTGGCATAATTCCTGAAGTGGTGCGTGTCCCTTCCGCAAGTGCACTCTCAGTTCATGCATGCACCGCTGCAGACACTCGTTCTGCCTCTTGAGCAGCCTCTCTGGCGCACCCAAGTGTAAAGCGATGGCGTGAAGCAGGTCATAGTGCCTCAAGTAGTGTGCTGTAGGGAAAATAATCTAATAATTGGTTTTGAACTCATTTGCTTGCATTGCCACTAAGAATGCCTACATGGCTTTTAACCAAGCATTATTTTGTGGCAAAAATCGGCGTCAGTGTGTGTGTGTGTGCTTCGTGGAAGGTCTCCATGCGTTTGTGTGTGGAGGGGTTTTAGATAAGTCTGACCAATAACCTCTTTACTATCGTCTCTCTGACGACTGCATCGTGTTTGAACAGTTTGCAATCTTTTACACCATTACACAGCGTTTGTTTTAAGATTGGCGCCGGACTGGTCATCGGGACTTTCCTCTACGCACCCATCATGTTCATTTTTGCTGGAATGGCGACTCTGGTTAACGTGGATCCAGGTCTCTACGACAACACCCTTGAACGCGCCGCCATCTGCCTGTCGTGGGCCAGCCTTCTTTGCTGCGTAAGTCGCCTGCCGTTTCCCAGAGTGTGGTTTGCTTGCTTTGCCAGAATCCACAAACGATTTTCACTAACCCAAGGCGCCTCCAATGCCTCTCGTGAGGCATCGATTTTAACCACCGAATATAGCCCTTTCTCCACACCATCGAGATATTCTACTCTGGAAGTTTGTCGATGGCAAGCTTTTGGTGGAACTTCATACACCTTACCGACCTCGTCATAGTGAGGGTCTCCAAAGTGCTCTGGGTAAATTGGGCTACAGAAACTAGTGTAGCGGATCTTATGAACATTTGCAAAAACGCCTGAGTCTGGTACGATTGTCAGTGTCATTCTTGAGGGCAGGAGTTTTGTGGTCGACCAAATACTGAACGACCACTTTGTCATTCGCCTGTGTAATCGAACACATTCAGCTTCTTTTTTTCCCTTGCCACTGTTGTCTTGCCATGTCCACACCCGTTTCTCGGTTTTACCCAACAGACTTGGACGCTGACAATCCTCATCGTGACGAAGAAGGCCCAGAAGATGCCCTATCGGGTCCTCGTCTGTCTCATGGTCTCCGTGCTGACCTTCTGTTTTAGTGTCGCAATAGGCTCCATATGGGAACCTTGGACGTGGGGTAGGTAATTCTGTTGTCTTCGCCTTTACCTTCGTCAAGCACCACAAGTTACAATTATCAATGCCGAGTAAACAAACCAACCAGCTGAGCCTTGGCCTCTTTCCTAATCAGTGGGGTTGTAATAAATAAATTTAATCTCTATCAATTTCATGTACGTTTAAGGAGAGGTTACAAGCAGTCTAGAGGCGGTTAGACACTTTGAAGGCCTGGAGGTGTTGTAATCACACATTTTTTTCAAGGTCGAGCACAGTCCCTGCTAATCTACCTGCTTCCACACACCACTCACCTGTAATCGCAGCGTGGTCTGTAACTAAATCATCATTTTCAATTTCATGGTCTTGTCTTCTAATCATTAACACTGGGTTCCACTACTGGTCACCTGACACAATAATTAATAGCCTTCTTCGTGAGAATACTGGAATACAACGTGACCACGAATTCTCTAACCCTCTAAACTTGGATCCGAACTAAGGTGTACTCGGTGGACCACTCAAAAGCTGTCCCACATGCAAAAACGCACCCACTTCACCTCAGTCAGGCTCCGCGACTGCACATTTGTGCCCGCTATCTCCTTTGCCACTTCTACCCTCTACGTCCTAGTTTTCCTACAGCATCAACTGCGGGCATGGGTGTTTAATTAGGAGAATGAGCTGTTGTCCACGGATCCCAATCGATGTTTAATCATGCAGCCGTCCACACATCCCGCTGACCAGCATTTACCTGGACATTTGTTTATACTTTCATCCACTAAAAAACTCGCTCGCACAAACATAACTTCAATCCAATCTAGCCTGTGATTCGATTTACTTGCGGTCTAGAAACCTGAAGTCACAGATACTGCAGGTAAAGAGGTTTTAATTCAGAGACGTGCAGTCAGAGATGGCAAGACTACTATGAATGTGGTTCTCACGTAAGACGACTAATTTCAACCTGCCTTCTCTTGCGTCCTCACCATCAGTACTGGGTTTCGCGGGCAGTCACGCTGCTTCGTCAGAATTTTGACGCCAAGTATATTTACTGGCGAAAGCAAACGCGTCTTGACCATTTTTTTGCCTAAACGCCAAGTAGTCGTTAGATGCAAATTATGTATACCAAGTTTAACCTTAATCAGACCTGCCAGTGACTGAAGCTTTCCACTGTTGTCTGCTGTAAATTTTTGCTTGTGCAAATCCGTGAGGTATGATTGACTACTCTCGTCTACAAATGCATGAATCTGAAAAAAGGCTCATTTTTTGCAGATCCGAAAGTTGGAGCCACTTGGAGTCAGTACATAAAGTTCATGACTTTCTTCCTCGCATGTACCGGAGCGCGTGTGTGGACTGCCTTCCTTGGAATCGCTCTAGTCTTTCAAGTCAAACGGAGGCGACCACCATCAAATCGAGCACAATCTGCTTTTGCCGCCCTTGGTGTAATGTAAGTATGTCCTTTTTATACGAGATTGTCCAATTTTCTGGCGTCAGATCCATCTTCTGGTGAAATCTGGTGCGGATTGAAATCAGTCGTCTCACGTGCGAACCACATTCAAAGTAGTTTTGCCACCTCGGACCGCACGTCTTCGAATTGAAACCTCTTCACCTGTTGTGTCGGTGACTTCAGGTTTCCAGACCATAAGTAACTTGAATCAATGTCGACAAATATCAACATCTTTTGGCCTTATGGCATTCTGATGTACCTTTGGAAAGTGGATATGGTTGTTTATGGGCCCTCAGTGCCTTCGTAGCAATACAACTATGATCTAGTTCTGTAATTTGTCAAAAATAGAAGATAGTAACACCTATTTTCTTCCATTTAAGCCTTCCAATTGCGGTAACAGCAACCCTGATGCTGACGTCCCACAACACGTCCGTTCGCGATGTCAACCCGGCCTTCCACTACGGCAGGACGCAGGTAGACAACAATGTGTCCACTTATGGTAGGGCATTGCTTTCGCTGTCACGAACATTCTCAACGCTAAGTCACCGCGAATGATTTGTTGCTGGTGTCGGGGGCATTCAATCTTGCGGCGTTACTGCCCGACACGAAGCGTGTCTTTGCTAATTGGAAACTTAGTGGTACATGGTGATCGTTGTGTCAGTCGCGGCGTATCAAAGTCTTGATTGTTTGCGAAGCTATTTCGACGGTCGACACAGCACCCTTCAAACCTCCTCAATCATGAGAGCACCTAACGTAACAAACTGTTGAAGTCAGTTCATCGTCCTTCTCCATGCGCAGTTCACAGGTTGCATAAATCAGGCTAATTAAGTGGATCTAAATGGTGACTGTAGTCACTTGGCATACCGTGTAGAAACAAATTTACAGAGCGCGCTTCGAGATCATTATTGACTTGTGCTTATTTCACTTTCAGCAAATATTTTCAATGGTGGTTCTCTGTACCTGTTTGTCAATCTCGTTAATATCTTTCCTGTGCATCTTCCGGTCTCAAAGCAGCCGTTCACGCAGAGTAAGTTTCCTGGTGTCTTAGCACCAACTAATTTGCTCTAACACCTAGTCGTGCTTGCTGTTGGGATGTAAAATTTCGTCGACGCCCTTAATACTTTCAGCAGGCGCGGTTCTCACTTGACTGGAACAGATCTCATGTAAGATGCGTGCTAGTAGAATTTTTCGTTGTTGTAACACCCTTAATGTTTTTGCACCTTTTTAAAACCATCCCTCTTTCCCCACTAGTTGTGTCTGCTATTTCGTCAAGTCTTGATGAATGTCCCATTCACTTGTAGTTGTTTTGGCTGTTAATGGTATGCTTGAACAACAGCACTTGGGATTGTTTAGGGACGCACGTTTATTGGCTAGACGATCACGTCGGATTTACCGTTATATTGGTCTGATTAACCGTAAACGGCGGAGACAGCCACTTACAAGATGGCCTAACTCCTTTGTGTTTTCATGTCCTATTCCAGTGCTTACAAGGACGTGTATGAATAATGAAGGTTGTTGATCAAAATATCTCAGGCGTAAAAAGCGACTGCTTACTGAGGATAGCCTGTAGAGGCGCAATACAACCTCGTGTTTACGGAGTAGGGCAAATGGAGGGGTTTTAGCCGTTTATTAAACCGGCAAGGCTGGTTTATTGTGTTTATGCGTGTTTATTTGTACCTCAGAGGTGGGAACAGCGGGAGTCATAGGGGCTTAGTGGCGCTCGTTTCTGCATTTATGAAGAGTCCAAGGTAACCATTGGAGTTCAACGGAGTCAAGTGGCTCTGCAGTAGATCTGCAGGGTTTAGACACTCGCGTGCATGTCACTGCACTGAACCCTGGATAACTGTCCTAACTTTGACAGCAGGTTTCAGCTGTCTCTGGGTCACTAGCACTGCGGTTGTCAACAGTGAATGCACTTTAATGTAGTTTTGTGGCCCCCAGCATGTGGTCCTGAACCACGCCGGGGCCACGGAATTAACCCTGGCCCGATTACGTTTTCCTGATACCCGTGATGAAGAAAAAGACCGGAGAGGACGTGGACACAACCATTTACTTCAGAGCTCAACCCCGTTGGTGTCGTTATGTCGTGTGTGGGGTTTGCGCGTGTGTATTTATACCTTGTATGTGTGAGTCCTACATGCGCTAACATCGAGACCTAGGTGTGAGGATAATCCAAGGTAAATATTTGTGTAAATGAAGGGGGAGTTGAGGATCCGCGGGGCTGGCGACGTGCTGCGAAAAGGGGAACCCTGTGTAGGAGGTGGAGCGACTGGATTAAGGGGTGTGAATAAACACGATTCACAACAGTAGTTGCGGCCCCCAGTCTCTCAATGTTGCCTCACCGAAGAGCTATTCGATTTCGTCCTGTCAATGCTTTCAATGCCAGTCACGCTCGTGGATTGTGGGCTGACGCGTTTGTGGTGAATCCTCGGAATGCCATTCAGCTAACACATTACCACTCCGGATTTTGTTGACAT